TTTGCGAACTTTGGGTGAACCTCTCCTTTGTTGTTCCCGTTACTAATGGCCTCATTTGTTTGTATTTTGCTTCTGAACTGTAATCGGGAAACAACGAAATCTGTAGCTTTGTTGCGATATGGCCTTGGTTGAGTTGATTGCTATCGGACGTATTGTCAATTTTGTGATTTCAAGCATCCGAAAGAATTTCATTCATTTTCTCAATGGAACTCCCTTTCGTCATAATTACCGTTCCGGATCCTTTGTCTGGTTTCAGAAATTTTAGGTTTGCCATACTTTTCAGTTCTTTCATTGCTTTGTGTTCTAGAATGAGACGACAATGCTATTCAGTCGGTGCCCTGAGGTTGGAAAACATCCAGCAATTTCACTCGGATTCACCCGGCGTTTTTGACTGATGTAGATGAAAGTTCTTTCAACTGATCATAAAAGTTTTCCAACTGAACACATCTTTGTCAACCTTTCTTGGCGGATTCTGGAACTTCATCTAGAACATCATCTCGTGTGGATGTGGATGTGGATGTTACAGATGCGAGATTGTAGGTGTTCATGCGATTGTATGGGAAGCACAGATGAACGGTTTCGTGGCAGCGAACCAAGCAGTTTTTCTGTTTCTTTCTCATGTCTTCTGGAAGGTTATTTTGGGGAAGTTATAAAATTTGATTAGACGAACCAAATTGAGGTCTGTATTTGACCACCAACCTCTTTCAAGCATTGTCTATATCTGTTCGGAACATCGGGTGAGCAATGACGAGGTTCGTCTTCGTGTGTTGGGTGCGGATAGTCGTTCTCTAATGGAAGTAACCTCTGTACACCGCCTCCGGTGACTCGGTCACGTTTTGCGTACGCTTGCCCATTGTCTACCTTTCCGTGCTTTCTTTGCGCGTTCTGGGTAAGTCCTAAAGAAATGTCGTGGTGGTCAAACCATGACATGGCGTAGAGTTATGAAGGGGCTGGCTTCGGTTGATGCCGTCAACATTCCAGGTTTGGACTCAAAGGATTAGGATTGTCGTTAGTGAGGGGCTCTAGATGTGCCCAAAATAGAACTCAGTGGCTGTTGAAATCTTTCGCCCCGTAAAAGACGATAAACAAGCACAAACCAAAAGTATACGGTGAAACGAAAAGATTGGTTATTATTCCTGTTGTTTACTATTATCAGTGTAACTCTTGAACATTCTTTTCACGCTGTTTTGAATACCAACCCATCTATCCCTTGTCATCTCTATTATTGTTATGGCATAGACACTATGCTTGTCTGCAAACCGATGACGTATATATATATATACATAACCGAGAGTTTCTCGCATGCGTTGATTTTGGAATGCTGTATATGATGATTCTAAGCAATTAGTCTATGGATTCATATATTATCCAATTTGTCGATCATATAATCTACTGTATTCATTTGCGTTGCCTTTTATGGTGTATTCTTGGTCCTATGTTTTCATTTATCCTTCTCCTTTTTATATTCCATTTCAGTGAGCCAGACAACCAAGTCTTTCCTTAGCTGTCTGTATTATAAACCAGTGCTCAATTTGGCCAAGCTTAATCCATCTCTTTATGCAGTTCTACCGGAACTGTTGAACATAAGACAACTGCGTCGTGCACTTATCCACCTTTGGCACCAGATTTCACGATGTGATGCTAAAGTTGCGTCAGATTTGCGTCGATCGTTACGCCCAAAGGACTATATGCTCTTCAGCCTGAACGATTTAGATCTCTACTCAGTGCATGTGAGTGTCCGCTTCTGTGTGTGTGCCTACGCATAACTACTGTTTATGGTGATCACATCTCCACGCACGTACAAATAACGCTCTTGCTCATTGTTGCTTACACCATTGGTTTCGTACTTTGCTACGAGCCAAATTCTCCTTACGTCTGGCAAACAACCGTAAAAAAGCCACTGAAAGCGGATATCTAACATACAACGTCAGCGATTGTTGCAAATCGGCCTTCGAAGCGGAACTGTTCGATCACCTGTCAGTTCAACCACCAGCCGAAGGACTCAATGAACGCTAGAAACAAATCAAGAAAGCTATGCAGATATCAATAATAACGTCAAACCCTCACGCAGCCTCAAAACATAAGCGTTGGATCTCATCGACCTCGGTTGCCCTGCTGGACACCCGCAGAACCCTTCCTCCGGATGCGGCATACGACAGCGCGCAAATCCCTCAAACGCCAGCTCATCAAGAGTCTGAGGAATGACTGCAAGAAATGGTGGATAGGAAAGTGTAGAGAGACAGAGAAGGCTGCGACTATTGGTAATAGTCGCAATCTTTTCCGTCTAGTTAGGAATACGGGTCCTAGGAAAATAGGCGTAAGTGAGGTAATTAAGGAATCCAATGGCACACTGATTCACGATCAGCAACGCCGTCTTGACCGTTGGGCTAACCATTTCAAAGCTCAGTTCAACTGGCCCCCATCGACATCTGAACTGTCAATCTCCACCGCAACTGCGCAAATTCTGCCAGTCCTCCATCTGAAATGGATGTATCTCGGGAAATAAGCTTTCTCAAAAGGCATAAGGCCTCAGGCCCAGACGGGCTCTCTCTCCATCTGTTTTTGAGGATGAAGCTTTAGCATTGGTTTCGGAGTCAACAGAACTCCTGGGCTCAGTGTGTGAGAGGGAACAGGTTCCAGCAGAATGGTGTGAATTGGTGATCATACCGATTTACAAGAAGGGTGACAGATCCTCTTGTGAAAACCACACAGGAATTAGTTTAATCAACATTGCTTCTAAACTTCTCGCTGGTGTCATACTCTGTTGATTGTCCGCCGCACTTGAAGGGTGCACGCGTGAGAACCAGGCTGGTTTTAGGCCTGATCGAGGTTGTATCGACCACATCTTCACTATTCACGAAACTCTGGAGCTC